TGGCGACGTGGTCGCACGTTGGGCCGCCATTTTCAGCGCCCGTGGGAAATTGCGGGGATGCGCTCGGCGCATGGGGCCGCCATTTTGAGCGCGCGCGGGAAATCGCGAGGATGCGCTTGGCGCAAGGGGGCCGCCATTTTGTGTGCGCGCGGGAAATCACGGGGATGCGCTTGGCGCAGGGGGCCGCCATTTTGAGCGTGCAAGAGAAACCTTGGTGGGGCGCTTCGCGCGGGCCGCCACCATTTTGAGTATACACGTCGAGCCGCGGGGATGTGGTTATGGATATCATCCCTTGACTCTCGTGTTGCGCTCTAACTTGTGTGCGTGTATTGCGTGTTGTGCGCAATGCTGGCGTGTTGGCGCCCATCGGGGTAACAGGTGTGTAGTGGCACATGGCTGACTAAAGAGGGGCGTGTCATTGCACCAGCATTTTGGGACAGAGATGCTGGCTGGGTTCTATTCTGGGGCAAATAATTAATCAGTATATGCCTGCCATTGTTGGGTGGGTGATGCTCGAGTTGTGGTCACACCGGCCTATGGCCGATGGCTGACCTGACAGCCCGGAGGCGAGACACTCCGTGGTTTGTCTCAAACTAATGGGCCGTGTGCTCATATGGCTCGGGGAGTCGGGGTTCCATCGTGCGGTGGCAGACTGAACCTGGTGTGCCAGGGTCTCACAGGATTCAGGAGTAGAGGTTCCGTTACGTGGCAGCGAACGGGGAGACCTGGCTACCATGGGGCGGGGATTCCCCTTGCGGGTCCTCCAGCGGGAAGGGCCGCGGACTTATTCCGCTCTGGGTTAAGACGTTATTTAATGTATAAGGGAACATTGCCCCGTGGGGGGGGGGGGGGGGGGGGGGTCGATGGGGTCTGGCCTTGCAAGGGATGAACCTTCCCTTGTCTGTGAAGCGTCAGACTATAAGATGCTGGGGTGTGTCCATTGGTGAGGGGATATTACGGGATGGAGCGTGGCTGAGTTGTTGCGATGTGCCATTGTCTCGTCCCCGAAATTGCACTGGCTGAGTGTATGGCCAGTGGACGTTGCTGTGGTTGGACGGCCACGGTGAGGGTGAGGGCGAGTTAAATGTTACCGCTGGGGAGCGTGGCTCTCTCCACGCGAGGGTGTGCGGCTGGGGGCTTTGTTGAGAGTGACAGTGGGTAGATGCTGTGTACGTGAGATGTGCGTTTTGTTGTGTTGTGCCTCAGGGGGTTGGCTTCTCCTTCTCGTCACAGATCTTCGGCACCTGCCACACTGGGTGTTACCGGTTGTGCTAACCGGATGTGGACTTGAAGGGGGAGTGGAGCGTCTGTTCGTCACTCCTGCTCTACCAGTTGCTTCTGAAGTTGGACTTGAGCCAGGCGGATGGACCAGCAACACGGACACGCTCTAAGACACCGCATTCCTGGTTTATGCGCGTCGGCCGTTCTTGCGTGTCGGTTACCATTGTTGTGTATTGCTTTCCATTCCTTAATTCTTTCTTGCTTGTTGCGCGGAAGACGGGCCGGTGTTCCGTACCGGATCCAGATCCCTTCCCTTTCGTTAAATTGTGTCTGTTGTTATACTCTCCGTTGTGTCTGGGGTGACTCCTGATTGGGATGCCTTCGTTCGCATTATTTTATCCTATTGCAGCCGGGACGGCTGGATATTTCATCAGGGGGGGGAGTCATGTAATGCGAGCGTAAATGGGAAGGCCGGATGTGACGATCCGGAAGGGAGGAGTAAGGGTCACGTGGGAGAGAGGTTATAGAGGGGAGCCCGGAGGAGATTAGGGCCAGTCGATGGAGTGAAGAGGCGGGACCACGTTGGGTGGCCGCCGCGCCATCAGCCACGTGGCTGATGGGGGCTTGGCACACCGTCGGCCAGGGTGTGAGGAGCGAGAGAAGAGTGTGCGGGGCACACGGGGCTAGCGGGGCGGCTAGCGGAGCGTGCGGGGCACGCGAGAGGAGCGTGCGTGGCACAGGAGAGGAGACGCTGGTCCCTTGTCAGGACCAGCGGGGTGGAAGGACAAGTGGAGGAGCTGAGGAGGAAGAGAGTGCGTGGGGCGCGTGGGAGACGACGCTGGTCCGAGGAGGAGGCCAGCGGGGTGCGGAGGAGAAGAACCCAATATAAAGGACGAACGGAGACTTACATCGCCTGCAGAGTCCTTTATTACAAAAGTAATATTTCAAAATTAAGTTAGGAAATATTAAAATAATAATGTGTGTGCCTAAGTCCATGTGTGCGTGTGAGTCGATGTCTATGTGATTCGAAGTGTGTGTGTGAGTCGATGTGTGTGTAAGTCCATGTGTGTGTGTGTGTGTGAGTCGATGTGTGTGTGTAAGTGGTGGTCGCGGGTTGCTGAGGAGATGGAGTCTGCCTCAGTGGCCCGCGATCACAAATCACTATTTAACTCCATCAAAAAAGTAACCTGCAGCGCCACACCGATTACCATCATTAGGGGAAAAAACGGTGATCCAATCTCTGACCCGCAGGAACAGGTTTGCAGATTTTCTGAGCATTTCTGTGAGGTCCTGGGGGAGGGGAAATCCCGGTCCTGGGGGAGGGGAAATCCCTCAGCCAGGAAAACATCATGGCACCAAGTGGAGATGACCCTGCTGAGGCTGTGGTGCCTCAAATATTGGAAGAAGTCACCCCCTGTGAGAGGCTAGCTGAGGTGCCATCTGTTGAGGAAGTACTGAAGGCGATCCAGAGTCTGAGACCAGGAAAGGCACCGGGCAGAGATGATCTCCCAAGCGAAATGCTGAAGGAAGGTGGCGTTTGTGCACAAACTGCCCTATATGACATCATAACAACAGTCTGGACCACGCAGGATTGGAATGATGCCCTGGTGGTCCCCCTCTTTAACAAGGGGGACTGCACAGACTGTAACAACTACAGGGGTATCTCACTCCTCAGTGTGCCGGGAAAGGTCCTGGCAAGGATTATTCAACATCGCCTTGCTAGGCACGCTGAGGAGAGGCTTGCGGAGCCCCAATGCAGTTATAGGAAAGGGCGGTCCTGCACAAATGCCATATTTTCTATCCGTCTGCTACAGCAGAGGTGTAGGGAATTCCAACAAGACCTACATCTCTGCTTTATTGACCTGGTCAAGGCCTATGATGCCATCAGTAGGCCTGGGCTCTGGGTTGTTCTTCGTGCTTTCGGAGTCCCTGACCCTCTGCTCACAATCATTAAGGACCTTCATGATGATGAGCGGGCCCGGGTAAAACTACGTGGCCGGGAGTCAGAGCCATTCCCTGTACACCTTGGGGTGCGACAGGGATGTCCTCTGGCTCCCACATGATTTAACATCTATTTTGACCACGTATTTCGTGAAGGCTTCAATAGCTGCACCGAGGGAATTTCCATTTGGTACAGATATAATGGGAGGCTGATCGATGCTCGGGTGCGATCAAGGGATGGCTCCCTATTGGTCAACCACGTTATGTATGCCGATGATTTTGTAATAGCTGCTCATTCAGAAGAGGAGTTGGAGACGCTGCTGGTGAGACTGGAGCGTGCCACTAAGAGGTGGGGCCTTACCATCAGCCCCACCAAAACTAAGCACCTGCCTGGGTATTTTGTACTATCGGACACTCCACCCACACAACTCCCAATCGGTGATGGGGCAGTTGTGGAGAGAGTGGAGAGTTTCCCATACCTGGGCAGTGTGCTCATGACCGGCTCCAGTTTAACAACAAAGGTCTCACTCCGAATCAGTCGAGCGGCAATATCTTTTCATCGGTTGCGTAACGCTGTGTGGAAGCTACCTGGTCTGTCGCTCCACACGAAGCTTCAGGTCTTCTCGGCCACAGTCATTCCCTCCCTTCTCTACGCTTGCGAAACGTGGACCCCCCTAATGGAGCATCTTCGCCGGTTATAAACATTTAGGCTGGCCTGCCTACGATCCATCCTGGGTTTAACCAGGCTGGATTGTGTGAGGAGCTCACAAATCCTTGAAAGATCTGGGTAAAGTCCCATCGGTGAGCTCTTCCGGCAGGCAAGGCTGCGTTGGCTGGGTCATGTAGCCCGCATGCCCAGCCACCGCATGCCTAAACAGCTTTTGTTCGGCCGGATCGAGGGGGCTAAACGGGCATGGCACGGGCTAGAGACGAGATGGAGTGGTGTGGTACAGGAGGACGTGGAGCCGAGTGGACTTGCCGATGACTGGTACCAGCGGTGTCAAGATCGGCCTCTGTGGAGGAGGCTCGTGAAGGACACTACTGGGAAGTTGGAGGCAGTCGCCCTCCAACAACAACAGAGGGCGGAGGAGCGACGCTCACAACAACGAGCGGAACACCGTGTGGCTAAAGCACAGCAAGTTGGCACAGTAGGGGGCACAGGTGGTGCATCAGCCAGTCGTCTCAGTCAGTCGACCTGTGGCATCTGGGTCTGCCCCGTGACCTCTTGCCAGCGGGCGTTCGACACTTCACGTGGCCTCAAGGTGCACATAGCCTGGCACAAGCGTCGTGGTAACGTCACCACCACTTAGTGGCGAATGGCGGTTGTTGTTGTATGCGTGTGTGTGAGTTGATGTATGTGTGTAAGTCGATGTGTGTGTGTGAGTTGATGTGTGTGTGTGAGTCGATGTGTTTGTGTGTGGGTTGATGTCTGTGTGTGTGTGTAAGTCGATGTGTGTGTGTGTGTCTTTTTGCCCGGGCAATGCCAGGTACTTCCCGCTAGTAATAAATAAAAGTTAATGGGTTTCTTTAAGTCCAAAAGTTTATCTGAGATTTGGAAAAGAGACGATGGGAGGGAGTCGAGCAGTGTGAGGAAAGAAAAGTGATTGAACCTGCAGTAGTGCGCAGACGAGTGTGTGAGTGGGTGAGTGTGTTAGTTCAAAACAGCATGGGTGAGACATAAACAGTCAGTGTAGTAGACCGTGTCCTCAACATGGGTGGAGGAATTAATGAGTGGATTTCATGGGAACAACTACGATTTCAGTAGCGAAAAGAAGAGTGATGATGGGGTGACAGCTTGACGGTGAGTGACTGGTGTGAATTGCAATATAGTAACTCACCTGTCGCACCTCCAGGCGGTACTCGGTGACTGGGTCCACAGCTGTGGGTTCAGCTTGAGTCCACTGCACCAGGTATGAGTAGACCCAGAGATGCTGCAGGTGGACTGGCGACGGATTGTCGTAGTAAAATTCGGGGGCACGTGCCCTTCCTTCCCCACACACAAGCACCAGCGCACACTCTGAGTCATCCCTGTTTGTCTGCCATAATGGGCCTTGTTCACGCAGCTCTCCATAACAAGAGTCAAAGTGACGCCCCGCTCAAATGAGAAAGTAGGTGGTGCTCATCTCCTGTTGTGGAAATTACATGTTCCCATGTCGGGGGCAAGCCTATCCGTAAGATAACCACTGTTGACACAAAGTGGGACACATTTTATCAACCCCAGTGGGATGATCAGCTGAGTCGTACCCTCAAATCATAAATTAAATTCCCCCAACGACCGATTGTGAGCCACCTGCTCCACCACTGAGCTTTGGCTGAGTTTGAATTAGTCGTAGGAATAACTTACCATTACACAACAAGGAAAATGTTTCTATTTAATGGCTGTCACTGGTGCTGCTAAGTTGCATCCTGATTACAGATGTGTATTTGGATAAAATCCATCACGTGTAGCTTATTCGGAGTAAACATGTATTAACTGCATTCAAACACATCGATTAAAAAAATATAAAGCACTTGCATATGTTTTTGCCTGTTCATGAGCAGAATAAGCTCTTTGGCAGGACATTTAAAAGTATAGTTTCGAGTTTATTTTGTTTAACCTGGCAGTGAAAACCCAAGAGACCAAGATGAGTCTCATTTGCAAGAATAACTTGAGTGACCAAGATGGCAACAGCAATAATATAAAAAGATATACAAAAATGAAGCATGTGTATATATAATCAGAGCTAAGACAACTAAATAGTAACCAAAATAAAAAGAACCAAATACAAATCAGAGCAAAAATAACTAAATAAAGATCAGAGCAGAGACAACCAAATACGAATCAGAGCTTCAACAACTGAGTTACAGTAGAAATATCCAATATGAAAAATTGGCTTTGACAAATTATATTAATAAAAGCATTCATAGTTACCGTATGTTAGGTTACCATCCATTCTGTTGATTCACCAAACAACTCTGTACAAGTAAAGTGTGAATTAGCAAGCCGGTAATTGAGTGTTTTCGGCTTGTGGGCTAACCTGTCAGGGTAAATACGCAGCTGGTGGAGCCGGCCTCATTGGCCAGGATGCACGAGTAGCTCCCATAGTCGTCGTTCGAAAGGCTTGAGATCCTGTGACTCGAGAGAAACCCACCGGAGTCAAGGCGGCTCGTCGCCAGCACCTACTCCATACACACCCCGACGTTGCGAACATTGAAACTCGCGTGACATTTCAGCAGAGACAACAACAAACAACCTAAAATGTAATGATCGATTATAGTACCGTATCAGCATATATTGTCATATTCAGCCATGATTAATCAACTACTGGATGAAGGCTTCTCTCAAGACGACGCCACCTTTCACGATCCTGCCAAGCAACAATCCATCCAGCACCTGCACAATCCATCTTCGGGACATCTGTGGGAAAAATGGCTTTTAAAAGTTCATCAGATTCCTCCAGTGTAAATAAATATTTAGTTTACTGATTTCATCGCTCCATCTCCTAGGTGGGCATCCTCTTCCGATTCGTTCCATTCCTTAGCTGCCACACCGTTGCTATTCCTGACCATCGTCTCTTCTAATAGTGAGTCTTGATCAAGCCTGCAAACTATCCGGTGTACTCCTCTTTCTGTCTCTACATGTAATTCCACGTTTCTTTGCACATGTTTTTTTCTCTCAAAACGGTGTTAGACCAGAGGACGCCACCGTTTTGAGACTAGGCTCAAAAGAAAGCTGTCTCTGGTGTGGAGCAATCAGTTTCAAAGACAATGCATATATTATCAGAGTATGTTTTTTGTTTGCATTCTGACCACAAGTATTGTGGTTAATGCAGACATGATTCCTTGTAAAATGTTTTAGTTAGGTGTTTTAACATCTTAACCCCTGTTTGTTGCCAGAAAAAAGGGGAAAACCTATTCTCAACATTCATATACTTATTTAAAATGTATAATAATACAATAGCTCATGGAACAAAAAATACAGAAACATAAAATATAGAAAATTAAATAAAACTAATTATACTGTAAATTTTGAAGTTTTATTTCCCTTGGATGATAGTGGGGGTGCGATGATGATGATCAGCAGAGGCACCGCCACCGTGACCAAGTCTACCCCACAACTCTACTTTTTTAGCTAAACTCATCACTTTTTCTGTTCTTTACGCTCGTTCTCACTTCCTCCAATCACTCGACGCTTCGACCCCATGATCAAAGTAAAACAGTGCTCCGGTACTGTGCAGGTACTTCTCCCCATGATGCGATGTTGCTAAATCGCAAATAGTTGAAGGAAAAAGCTGCATAAGCTGGACTGGTATACAAATATAAAATTGAAAATAATCTAATCTCACTAAAGAAAAATCTGCCAATGAAGAGGTTTGACTATATATAAATTAAATTTCGATTTAAAGCTTTCGTGACTGCAGGGATTCATCTTCTTGGTTCTTTCGGTAAAGTCACGTAGAAGGGAAGTAATAAAATAATAAAAATAAAACATAATAAAACAATTCTCACGACGTTTCGGCCACAACGCAAGCAGCCGTCCTCAGGTGAAAACCAGGTCCGTCGAGGCGACAGAGTCTGAATGAAACAGCACACGAGCTTGGAGCATATATATAAGCTGGGCGCATTGACAAAGGAATTTGTATATCAAAAGGAATTTAGCATATTTATGGGAAATGCAGGAATGTGATTAGTACTGCATATGCATGTGCATTATGCAGGATTAACAGCATCAAAGGGAGCTGCAGTTACTGCTGCTGCAGCAGTTGCTGCTGCTGCTGCAGTTTCTGCTGCTGCTGCAGTTGCTGCTGCTGCTGCACTTGCTGCTGCTGCTGCTGCACTTGCTGCTGTTGCTGCACTTGCTGCTGCTGCTGCACTTGCTGCTGCTGCTGCAGTTGCTGCCTTATCCATTATAATATAACACTATGTATTATTCTACCCACCCTGTGTATCATACTGCTATATGTTTACTGTACAATTACGACACCATACATTACTCTGCACACTGCACCATGCCAGTGAGTGGAACGCGGTCTGAAAGTCACCGTAAACGTGAACACAATCAGTTAAGATCCGAAATGGTTTATTACGTCCTTCCAATGATTGCTAAGCCAGAATCCATCTTCTCGGTTGAAATTGTCTCTGTGTTTGTATATGTGGATCGCCTCATGAACGAATCTCTCATGATAGCCAGATGGCTTGCAGAGAACCTCTGTCTTGGAGAAGTCAATGTCATGTGAGCCCACTGAATTGTAACAGTGATCTGCCACGGCTGAGGTGTTTGTCCTACCGTGTTTCAGGTCTGCCTTATGTTCACGGATGCGGTCCGAGACATGTCGTTTGGTTTCTCCAATGTAACTGCTACCACAGAGGCAACTTAGTTTGTAGACGCCAGGGTACTGTATGTCTGGAACCACATCTTTTACAGACGGGACTAGATCACGGATTTTATGTACTGTGTTGAATCGGACCTGGATCTTGTGTTTAATCAGGATTTTGGAGATCTTTTTTGTGACCCCAGCAATGTAGGGTAAGGTGATGGTCTTGAAAGGCTCCTCAACAGGATCCTTCTTGATGGTTGGAGTGATGGCTTTGCGGATTGTGTAGTCGGAGTAACCATTAGCCTTAAGAGCTTGGCGTACGTGTTTGAGTTCACTGGAAATGTGTTCATGGTCGGAGATGCATTGGGCTCTATGATATAGAGTCTTGATGAGGGAATTCTTCTGGGATGGATGGTGGTGGGAATCCGGTTTTAGATAAGCATCCGTGTGGGTGGCTTTCCTGTAGACAGAGTGGCTCATTGAACCATCAGGTCTCCTTTTGATTAGGACATCCAAAAAGGGTAGCTTGCCATCATTTTCGACTTCCATGGTGAATCTGATGGCTGGGTGTATGGAATTGATGTGGTCGAGAAATTGGTCTAGAGCAGGCCGGCCATGTGGCCAGATGACAAAAGTGTCGTCTACGTACCTCTTCCATAAGGTCGGGCGTAGAGTGGCAGTCTGGATGGCGTCCGTCTCAAATTTCTCCATGAAGATGTTGGCTACAACCGGAGATAGGGGGGAGCCCATTGGGGTGCCCTCAATTTGCTTGTAGAAGGTTCCATTCCAGGTGAAGTATGTATTGGTTAAGCAGTGTCTCACCAGGGGGGGTACCCCAGCATTCAGTCCTTGATGAACCAAGTCTTCAATGATTGCGATGGTGTCAGGCACAGGCACCTTGGTGAACAAGGAAACCACATCAAAACTGGAATGGAACCTTCTACAAGCAAATTGAGGGCACCCCAATGGGCTCCCCCCTATCTCCGGTTGTAGCCAACATCTTCATGGAGAAATTTGAGACGGACGCCATCCAGACTGCCACTCTACGCCCGACCTTATGGAAGAGGTACGTAGACGACACTTTTGTCATCTGGCCACATGGCCGGCCTGCTCTAGACCAATTTCTCGACCACATCAATTCCATACACCCAGCCATCAGATTCACCATGGAAGTCGAAAATGATGGCAAGCTACCCTTTTTGGATGTCCTAATCAAAAGGAGACCTGATGGTTCAATGAGCCACTCTGTCTACAGGAAAGCCACCCACACGGATGCTTATCTAAAACCGGATTCCCACCACCATCCATCCCAGAAGAATTCCCTCATCAAGACTCTATATCATAGAGCCCAATGCATCTCCGACCATGAACACATTTCCAGTGAACTCAAACACGTACGCCAAGCTCTTAAGGCTAATGGTTACTCCGACTACACAATCCGCAAAGCCATCACTCCAACCATCAAGAAGGATCCTGTTGAGGAGCCTTTCAAGACCATCACCTTACCCTACATTGCTGGGGTCACAAAAAAGATCTCCAAAATCCTGATTAAACACAAGATCCAGGTCCGATTCAACACAGTACATAAAATCCGTGATCTGGTCCCATCTGTAAAAGATGTGGTTCCAGACATACAGTACCCTGGCGTCTACAAACTAAGTTGCCTCTGTGGTAGCAGTTACATTGGAGAAACCAAACGACATGTCTCGGACCGCATCCGTGAACATAAGGCAGACCTGAAACATGGTAGGACAAACACCTCAGCCGTGGCAGATCACTGTTACAATTCAGTGGGCTCACATGACATTGACTTCTCCAAGACAGAGGTTCTCTGCAAGCCATCTGGCTATCATGAGAGATTCGTTCATGAGGCGATCCACATATACAAACACAGAGACAATTTCAACCGAGAAGATGGATTCTGGCTTAGCAATCATTGGAAGGACGTAATAAACCATTTCGGATCTTAACTGATTGTGTTCACGTTTACGGTGACTTTCAGACCGCGTTCCACTCACTGGCATGGTGCAGTGTGCAGAGTAATGTATGGTGTCGTAATTGTACAGTAAACATATAGCAGTATGATACACATTAGGGTGGGTAGAATAATACATAGTGTTATATTATAATGGATAAGGCAGCAACTGCAGCAGCAGCAGCAAGTGCAGCAGCAGCAGCAAGTGCAGCAGCAGCAGCAACTGCAGCAGCAGCAGAAACTGCAGCAGCAGCAGCAACTGCTGCAGCAGCAGTAACTGCAGCTCCCTTTGATGCTGTTAATCCTGCATAATGCACATGCATATGCAGTACTAATCACATTCCTGCATTTCCCATAAATATGCTAAATTCCTTTTGATATACAAATTCCTTTGTCAATGCGCCCAGCTTATATATATGCTCCAAGCTCGTGTGCTGTTTCATTCAGACTCTGTCGCCTCGACGGACCTGGTTTTCACCTGAGGACGGCTGCTTGCGTTGTGGCCGAAACGTCGTGAGAATTGTTTTATTATGTTTTATTTTTATTATTTTATTACTTCCCTTCTATATATATAAATTATCCGCGTGTGGTTATCCAATTTGCGGATTAACCGCGCATCTGAGATTTTGGGATCAATTAATAACTCATTAATTTTCCCTGAAGTCCAATTTCATAATTATCTAAAAACAGCTTTACATTGTTATTCTTGGAAATGTGCATGACAAGTAACGTGCTTAAACCGAACAAAATTATATAATCCGAAATCCATGTGATCGCCTCCACAGTGCAGTAGTTGCATATCTTTACAACAGTGGGCAGAGTTTGATTGATTTTGATTGGCGTGGCTCTGCTATCGACTTTGTGGGCCTAGTCTTTTGCATAGAAGC